AAAAAAAAAATTTAGGCAGTTGTTCTATATCCTTTCTGGTTCACCCAGGTAGAAGTCCTGGCATGATATCATTATGCCTGAGCGCTTCTAGGATATATAACACGTTTAGCATTTCAACCCGTAGCCGTAAAAAAAAATTTAGGCAGTTGTTCTATATCCTTTCTGGTTCACCCAGGTAGAAGTCCTGGCATGTTATTATTATGCCTGAGCGCTTCTAGGATATATAACACGTTTAGCATTTCAACCCGTAGCCGTAAAAAAAAATTTAGGCAGTTGTTCTATATCCTTTCTGGTTCATCCAGGTAGAGGTCCTGGCATGTTATTATTATGCCTGAGCGCTTCTAGGATATATAACACGTTTAGCATTTCAACCCGTAGCCGTAAAAAAAAATTTAGGCAGTTGTTCTATATCCTTTCTGGTTCACCCAGGTAGAAGTCCTGGCATGATATTATTATGCCTGAGCGCTTCTAGGATATATAACACGTTTAGCATTTCAACCCGTAGCCGTAAAAAAAAATTTAGGCAGTTGTTCTATATCCTTTCTGGTTCACCCAGGTAGAAGTCCTGGCATGATATCATTATGCCTGAGCGCTTCTAGGATATATAACACGTTTAGCATTTCAACCCGTAGCCGTAAAAAAAAATTTAGGCAGTTGTTCTATATCCTTTCTGGTTGACCCAGGTAGAAGTCCTGGCATGATATCATTATGCCGTAGCGCTTCTAGGATATATAACACGTTTAGCATTTGAACCCGTAGCCGTAAAAAAAAATTTAGGCAGTTGTTCTATATCCTTTCTGGTTCATCCAGGTAGAGGTCCTGGCATGTTGTTATTATGCCTGAGCGCTTCTAGGATATATAACACGTTTAGCATTTCAACCCGTAAATGTAAATCAAAATTAGGCAGTTGTTCTATATCCTTTCTGGTTCATCCAGGGAGAAGTCCTGGCATATTATTATGCCTGAGCGCTTCTAGGATATAGAACACGTTTAGCATTTCGACCCGTAGCCGTAAAAAGAAAAAAAAATAGGTAGTTGTTCTATATCCTTTCTGGTTCATCCAGGTAGAAGTCCTGGCATATTAATATGCCTGAGCGCTTCTGGGATATATAGTAGCAGTTAGACCCGTAGAAAAAACAAACTCAGCCGTTCATTTTGTAGGAGATATTTAAGCGTTTTTGTCTGTGTTAGCAATGTGATCGACTTTGTACGCAGACCTTAATAAAATGTTTTTTTCTTTGACGGCACTGAATAATTTTAGCCGAAACTTGAGCCGTACATTTGTTGAATGCCGCGCTTTAATCAAATTTCTCGCCCTAGAATGATGACATGATGGCGCGAAAATTGACGCCTCTATCGTATTAGATACGAAATATGATCAGAGATAAATGGAATAGTGAATGTTACAAGCTTCTGAGTATCCAGCTGAGATAGGGGACTTTTAGTCCCCTATCTCAGCTTGATAAACAAAATTTTTTTGGTTGCTAAGACGGTGCGGCTCGTTATGCTCTTTCCATAGTTATTCGCGATAAATCGAGGATTATCTTGCACGATGAGGACTCGGCGGCTGGACGTGTATTTTGACGTAAATCACATTCAATTACTTTTATCCATGCACAATGCTGACCGACGAACGTACGATGAGGCGTAATTTATATAACAGTATAAGTTTCTACAGAAGTGCAAATAAGTATTGACCGAAGAACAATGCAAATATATATAAGCATCCTACTACTGAAACGATGAAAATGGGATGTGATCATCACAAAACTGTGTCCCGAAAGAGGCAAACGATTAAAAGGAAGTTCGCCACCATTAGCTGCTAGTACTAAAGCGCTCCAGGCTTAGAAAGACCATCTGCTGTTAGATTCTGAGGAAACATATGAAGATACAGATTGAGGGGCCAAAAGTTTCCTTGCACTCTTTTGCCCAACTTTGCCTTAAGTATAGCTTCGGACTTCGCCTTTGATGGATACCACTATCGTCGATTTGCTTAATTCTCCATGAAGGAATACTCAGCCTTATTCAATATATGTTAAATACTAATTTAAATACAAATTTGGCATAATTGCTACAACCAGTTGAAAAAGTAGTAGAGCCACTGTTCCCTTTTTTGGCTTAAGTGGCCTGGCCATTATCTTGTGCTTGTGATCCCCACTTTTCAAAGTTGCAAGCGATACAAGGCCATGCTCAAAAATTGGAGGAACAACTTTGAATGGAGAGTAGGGGGGAGGTGAGTATTTTATTGCACAGAAGTTTGACTAGCAGAGATTTGAAGTAAACAAGGATGGTTTTTCGTTGGAGTGTCTCAACATTTTTGCAACTGGTTGTGATGTCAGGCAAAGATCCCTTAATGAATCGCTGCCGTAAGTGAACATCTCTAAAAGTACGTATGACTGCCCTCCATTATCACAAGGCTTCCATTCCCCGAAGTGGCTGTGGAAACTTTCTACGCAGATCGTTTTTTTTTGCGCCTATAACTATTACATGCAAAGGGAAAATGTAATTACATATATTTCTTTTTGTATTAGTGAAGGCCAGTTCCAAGTACAACATAACATTTTTTGCAATGATCGACAAAGAGTTTGACAATAAGATATCAAACAACGTGGCATTTTTGAACAGTCCACCAGCCGTGGGAAGGGGTCACAAATGACTTTTTCTCGCAACCAGTTACAAGGATCACTTCGGTGCATAGCAAGTGCCAGTCATGGAAACTTATTCTGCCCTACAAGGATGTCTGCTAAGAGGGGGTTTTAAGAGGTATTCTCATAACTAACAAATTTTTAAGGAGGATTTGATTCTAGAAATATGATACAAAGCCTGAGAAAACAGTCGACATTTCGCGATGTCACCACTGGGTTCCTGTAAAGTGACGACTGAGAACAAGTGCAAAATTCCATGCTGGTGATGTATCACTACCCACATCTGGGTAGTGCTTCTGATTTGTTGAAGCAAATTTCCCTCGCCACACGACCAATCGAAAGCACCGCCATAGCTGGGTACAGGTCACCAGCATGTGTTCGTTCCTCAGCCGCCCTTTGAGGGTAAACCATTGCTGGCGTCGCGCATTATCGGGTGATTCCCCAGGCTATAAAGTGATGCTGTAAATTTTCTTCATGTTAAGGCCTTACCTTGAGTAATAAGACACCAGCAAATCCCCGTGATTATTAGCAGCAAAGGTACTCCGCTTCTAAAGTATTTCCAGTAAAGACTTGCAGACACAGCTCCGATGGCTCGATCTTCTTCTGATAAGTGGGGCCCCTGTACTTCATGGGATACACTTTCATCACTCATCTTAGGAATGTCATCTTTGTCTTCATTTTCCATACCAACAACCGACTCGATTTCGTTAGCTTTCTCATACGTGAGATCACGAGTTGCATTCAGGATACCACTTTCTTTTAGCTCAGTGAAACTTCCTTTAGCCAACATTTGGCCTTTACACAATACAATAATGTTATCAGCTTCTCGCATGACCTTTTCTTGGTGAGAAGTTATTAATCGGGTTTTCTGTCTAAGGAGGCCTTTGATGCATTCCTTAAAGATGTGATTGGCGACTTTAAAGTCCACGGCAGTTAAGGGATCATCCAACAAGTAAAGCTCTCCTTCGGCGTACACTGCACGTGCTAAGCTTACTCTTGCCCGCTGGCCTCCACTAAGAACCACTCCACGCTCTCCGACGATCGTCTGGTCACAGTCTGGAAACTTCTCGATGTCTTGAGTCAAAGCACATGCTTCAATGACTCTGTTGTACTTAGATTCCTCGTACTGTTCGCCAAACAAAATGTTTTCTCTTATACTCCCAGAAAATACCCAAGCAATCTGTGGCACATAAACAACAGTTCCATTGTAGTTTATGGCCCAGTTCTGGTCTGGCACCTCCCCAGCAATTGCCGACAAAAGAGTAGATTTACCACTGCCCACTGGTCCGGTTAGGACTGTTAAACTTCCTCTTTCCATTGTGAAGTCAATATCCTGCAGCAATGATTCGTCGTCTGTAAGTATTTTTTGCGTTTGATGATTAAAATTTCTGACCGTTAGGATAGTTTCTTGCTGAGGATCTGTTGACTTGTAAGGTAAGAAGATTTTTTCTGCTCCTTCCTGTTGATACATCCTTGTGTTATTTGATTCAAGGTTGTTCAATAGAAGGAAGTCACGTATTCTTTTTAATGAGACATAAGCGTCATATGATTGCATGAGTCCATTGGACAGTTCCGCACAGAGGCTCCTTCTCAGCAGATTGATAAAAGACAGTAACGAGAAGACGGTTACAGGAGTCAGGGGCTGACCAGTTAGTACAAGAGTGATGACAGTGATAATGGTCGCTGTTGATGTTGAAACGTATTCGAGAGCAGCAATGATCGACATAACAGCACTCTTTTTACGGATCAAATTGATTTCATTGCTATAATTGAAAAGCAAAATACGAGGTATCATTAGGCACATGCTTAATTCCTTTTATTATAAAAGTGGCCTTTTTCGTGAAATTTCTGGATTCCAAAAGACAAGTCGGGTAGGTAGAGACTAAACAAAGATTTATACAGCCATACTAGGAATCTAGAAACGCAATACTTTTGGAACGAGATTTCAAATGGCTATTAGGCTTGGACGTATGAGTTGTAATAACAATTTAAGTCGAAATAATGAATATATGAAATTTATATATTTGAATCGCGGAATGAGGAAATGTAGTGAAGGTCCTTGCAGTTAAAGTTCCAACTTCTGCAATTGCGAAAAAGAAAGCCTGAAAAAATCCAGTCTTGCCGGGACTCGAACCCTGACCTCTGCGATGCCGGTGTTGCAGATAGCTAATCCAGGGAGCAGGCCAATTGGGAGCTGGACAGCCAATAAACTGGCTCGTAATATACCCAGGAAAGATTATGGAGATTAAATAATTTCTGTATGAACTTGTACTGCAGGTTTCATAAAATGTAAAATTTACTTGCGCAGCACCTTTCTAGCAGCTCAGTTTTATTTTGTGTTTTTCAAAAGTTTCATTACCTTCGGACGTTCTTTATTTTGCCTCTATATTCATCCTCCCACACATTACATTTGATGGCGCGGATCCCAGAAACAACCTGATTGATCAACGTGATGCGGTGATCAGTTACCGCGGCTGTACGTAGGCGCAGTACAGCTCCAGCATAGGACAGTCCAGCAACGTATGGCAGGCACATACAAAGTAAAATGATTCCCATTACAGCTTGCCATCCGATTAGATAGACTAGAAAAAACGTTACTGTTAAGAGCTCCACGATAGATCGAATTCCCAGAAAAAACAATTGAAAAGTGTCGCCCTCTATTCGCTGGACATCATTTGATACGAGATCAATAACTTGACCGGTTGAAAACCTCAACAATGTATCCTTGTTAAGGAGAAGCGCCTGCAAAAAAGCAAAACAGTTCATATATTTATCTTGGAATAAAGTCATCACTAACAAAAATAGCTATAACTATTTTCATCATGCTATTACATTGTATGTGGATCGTTACAATATTATCGCTACATGTTTTCCTTTCATGCGTTTGTTCTGATTGCTTAGTGATAATGATAAGGACTGATAATGATGATGATGAATCTGATTGGAACTTGGGAACATTTTATCTTTGATTTTTGTGAATCATGTCTAGTTCGAGTATGAATTTACTCTGTCATTTACAGAAACGTAATTTTTATGTGACATCCAACAAAGTTTTATGAACAATTTGTTCTCGCTGAATGAATAATTTTCTTTCCTGTTGGCCTCTTCATTGCCTAAATATGAGCCTAAACTATAGGTTCCATCGGTTTGATATCACGATCATACATGTAGAGAGGCCTTTGTTGTTTTTCTCATAGAGGAGCAAATTAAATTAGAAGACCGATCGAGGTAAACAAGAGGCTACTAGCTTAGTTTTATTCTTGTTTTGCTGCTGTTGTCCTTGTAAGTAACTATTGAAAGCGTCGCCGTCGCCGTTGCCGTTAACGGTGCTTAAAGTCCGAGGTATCAGTAAAACGCGGGGTCGGGATCTAACTTTTTTTTTTTAAAGGATGCTGTTCTAGGGTTCGGGTTAGGGTCAGTCTCAAGGCTAACGCTAACCCTAACCCTAACCCTAACCCTAACCCTAACCCTAACCCTAACCCTAACCCTAACCCTAACTCTAACCCTAACCCTAACTCTAACCCTAACCCTAACTCTAACCCTAACCCTAAAACAGCATTCTTTAAAAGAAGAGATAGGACCCGACCCCGCCCTCGGCCCCGACCCCAAACCCGCGTTTTACCGACACCCCTTAAAGTGCCTATTAAATTTTTTCTTTACCTTCATGTAGACTAATCCTTTAAGGGCGCTGCTAATCCTGGTTCCAAGCACCTCACATCGGTAGTCAAACTGGTGCATGCTAAGAGAACTGATTAGTTCGTTTATCCCAAACGCAGAAGCACAACCGTAGAGAAGATAATTGTGTTTTAGCCTTGCAATAATCAGGGATTTTAGAAGGTATCCAAGAAGCAGTGGTTGGAGAATGCGACCAACTGTGTTCAGACTGCCAGCTGTAATAAGGATTAAAAAGTCCTTCGCTGTTAGCATCTTCAACACACTTTTCCAGAGTTTTGGTTTAACATCCTGTATTTTGCTATTAGCTGTTTCTTCGCTCCATTTTGCCTGAAGCTCCTCTGTCAAAAACCAAGTAGTGTTTTCTTCTTTAAGAGGTAAAAGATCATTTTCATCAACAGCTCTTTCACTCCCTATCTTTATTAGAATGTTCATCCACTGGAAAAATAGAGATGAGAAAAAAAGCTCTCGCTTTCCGAGTGTGCAGAGGTGGCAATCTTTCTGTACCTATTCTTTACCATTTTTCTGAGGTCTAGAGAAAAAAAAAAAACAAAAATTTTAACCGATGCAAATTATAACCTTTATCATTTTATCATGTGATAACGCCAGGCGTTATATCGTCTCAGATGTTGACAACATGCATTACCGTTACTTATTTCCGTTATCTATTTCTATAGTAAGAAGATACATAGTTTCCTGAGCGTCGCTGAGTTACTTGCACATTCTCCTTATCTCTCTTGGGATAATCTACCTCGTCCAACATGCGAAGCAAAAAATTTCGCATCCATAGAAGCGAAATTTCGTTTTGCCGATTTGTCGCATGACAGGGCCGTGAAATTTGCACTGGCGAAATTAGGCCAGAACGAAAATTCGCATCGGCGAAATTTCGCTGGTAATGGAAGCGAAGACGGACCACTTTGACGTGCGGTTTTAGAGGTGAGAATTTGTATCCATTTCAAGAGCGTTATGTTCATAGCCTCCCCCGCAGACATTCTTAGGCGTGCGTCACGCGTTCCTTCCCCGCTTCGTGGGGAAGGAACGCGTGACGCACGCCTAAGAATGTCTGCGGGGGAGGCTATTATGTTCACTGATATTGGGCAAGTTGATATCTTCGGCTGTCAAAAATAAAATTTTTTACCTGTTTTCAGTTATTCTCGCGTCAATACCCTACAGTATAAACTAGTTCTCGCAGCAAGGCCAATTGATTCCACTCTCTGGTTTACGGTCGTTGTACTTTAGACTTCAGTCGCACGTACAGCTTTAGAGGTGAGACTATTTCAATCTATTTCAAGAGCGTATTCTTTACTGATACTGGCTCTCAAAACTAAAATTTTAACCAGTTTTCAGTTATTCTTGTCTTAATACCCTAAACCATTTGTCCGAATAACGAAGAAACTTCAAGTTCTCACAGCAATTAATTCTTCTTTGTGAGATTTTGCATCTATTTACACGGCGTCAGAACAATACATGCATCGAAATTTCGCCGATTTTTCGTCTGAAACGAAAGTTCGCAATTTGTTTGTTGGAATTCCCCGAAATTTGCTTTCATTTCTTTGCTAATAATGTTACGAAACATCTATCTGCTACCGGAGAACTACCTATTGAGAAAGATGGAATAGGATGTTTTTTCTTTCAGTCAGTGACAACGAGTACTCACAGTACGCCACTTCCACGTTTTCCATAATGCACCTTATTTGACCCAAACATTTTGCATAAGCATTGTTTTCAAGTCTCTTGGGACGGCTGTAATACGCAAGAGAAATGAAAAACATAGGTTACACTGAAAATTAAAAAGATCTGTTTCAGCCCCAAAGTGTCAATTCAGCCCTTCAGGCCAAAGTCTGATTCAGCCCTTCCTGGAGCCATTTGAGCACAATTTAGGCCAAGAAAGCTCAATCAAAAGGCTATTCCAGACCACGGTAGGGCCCATTTCAGCCCTGGAACCAAATCAATCCTAGCTAATTGGACTGTATTGGCCCTGATTTAAGGGAGCCAAATTAGACTCAAAAATAGGACTGTATTTTACTCAACGAAACGGCCATATTTTTACGGCTAAAACAGATCTTTCTGATTTAGATTGTATGCAAAATTTTGGGAGGCAAATAAGGTGCATTATGGGAAATGTGGAAGTGGCGTATAGGAGTCGAACCCATGACCTTGATTTATTTTCATTTATTCACCAGGCTCAAAATTCACCAACTCTTCGTCTCATCTTTACTCATTTCTCATATCGACATTCTAGTCCTAACCTTCTAACAGTATACAGGATGTTGGTCCTAGTTTAGCAGCCTGAGCTTCCAAGAGTCTCCTGTATAGCTTAGAGCATCTGGAGTAGAAGGTCATACCAATGTAAGTTCGACTCTGTTGGAGTACTCGAATTTTTTCTTCCGAGTCGCCTAGGTCACTGATTGAAAAAAAAAAAGAAAAAAGACATCTTTCTGATTCATTAACCTGGCTCAAAATTCACCATCTTATCTCTAACAGAGAACTGTTTTTTTTATCCATACACTACAACAACGATACGCAATATCGAATAAACGATTCCATAAACTAGTAATATGTGGGCCAAAGGAAATGCCCTTTCCCTGCAGTCTGACCCTTAGGGCACGAAATAACGCTTTTTCATAGGCCTTTTGTCCATTTCTTGAGTGTTGAACTCAAAACCTATTTCAGAATCCTGATTGCAGGATTGGCGCATACAAAGGCTTGATGTAAACAAACCGCGAAAACATTTTTTTTTTGAAAAACGGTTTTAACAAATTTGATCGTTACAGTTTTTCTAAAGGCGGAGAGGCATTTGACCATCTAAACTGCCAACATACCGGGGAATTTAACCAAAATTTTTCAAAAAAAGTGAAATGTCTGCAGGTCTGCTCTTGGGGTTGGGGGGGGGGGAGGAGGGCATAGGTGGAATTGGAATTACTAACTTCAAGAACGGGAGATTCTGGATAGTTTACTCCCCGTTAAAATGTCGAAGAACAAAGATAGAAAATCTGCGGATAATTTTCTTTATAGCAAACTACAGACACATGGCTACACCGTAGTTATTAAAGCGAAATGGCTATGAAACCTGTTAGACACCTTAGTTTGTTGTATGTTTTTGTCAGCTTTTTTGGACCTGACCGTGCTGACAACGTTCAATGGTCTTCCTACTTCCTATCATTTTGAACTTACTGACCAATAACAACTCGCATTAATTTACTCAGTCACAATTTGTGAAGAAACAAACAAAGAATCGGACACGGTCAGGGAGCTATTGACATAAACTACAGCACCGTTAAATGCGCTTTAGCTGCGCGTCAATGTATTTAGCACGATTTTTACGTCTCCTACTGGAGACGGGACCTCCATTTTACGTGGTCACCAGAGCCGCGAGAAGGTCCAGCTGCTTGCAGTGCAAAGGGAGTACCTTCATTTCTCAATTATTTTAAGACCCTGAGTAGTAATAGTCCGGCCCCGGAAATCGAACCCGAAACCTTCCGCTCTGCAGTCAAACGCTTTACCGACTGAGCGAATCCTGCCGTTGTTTTCAACATTGATATTTGCCGGCTTTCATAACCAGTCTCCCCTACTAACTACGGTTATTTTAAAATTATCAGTTGTAGGGAGATTTGACATATTTACACGTTAAGTGTTTGATAATTCCATACAGCTCGCAGATCGCTTGCGGTGATCGTCCATCTTTCAAGTGCATTCGACTGGATCATTTCATCAATATTATATTAAAAATTCGTAGCCCCTTCCAGCATGTTAATTGTGCTGTTACGCAAGTTTTTTTTTTTAACATTCCTACTGAAGATTTTGATAAACTATTAATGATCGATGTTATTCAATCAAACTGACGAAATTTACTTAATAAATGCAAAGAAGATCAGTCTTGGCAAGTAAAGAAGCAACGTCTTTAACTAAGAGGATCTTCCTTGCATATGACATTCATATGATTTCATTAATATTCACTATTTCAAGATATTCTGAATTCGCGAGTTTAAAAGTTTGAGTTATTAATAACCGACAGCGAACATTTCTAAAACCTATCTCAGAAAGCGAGTGGGCAGCCACCGTATAGTGGATTTTTAAGGACTGTAAACAGTTGCTCAGTTGCTACTTCGAGGCTGTTGGGCAACTCCGCCTTTTAAAAGTGCAGTTCCCACCGAAAGCACTATCACTATGGTATCTACCCTTCTTAGTCAGTGTAATCAAGTGAATCGATCAGTCGTAATGATCAATCCATAGAATTGCATCCCCTTATAGACGACGAGTTAACAAAAAAGATGCGATTCGACCCAGTAACGTAGTCCGAAGTAATTGGTCTGAATGCACTGACGTTATGTCGTAGCCAGTATAGGTTAAGAAATTACCGATCCTTCAAATCCGTTGAACACTATTACCCTTAGTTTCTTTAATTTTGTTTGCTTTTACAAAATTATTTCAAAATTAATGATCAGAAAAAAGTACACCTACCTTGCTCTCTTGTTTACCTTTGCCACAGTGCAAGGAATTAGAGGTTTGTACTTTGATGGCATTCTTCAATTTTGCATTAAAAAACATAATTTCGATCACAATACGGTCTGTTATTAACAATCAGTAGACCATAAAGCTGTTTGTCGCCTTGTTTATAATACATAATTATATGTCACGAAAGATATTAATCAGGATGGCATACCCTTGAACAAAGACGCTCTAAGCAGTTCGCAATAAATGTTTTTAAATCTCTGAATAACATGGAATAACCTTTATCCTGAGGGTTTAGCGGAGAACTTGTTCAAACCAGCAACCTTGAGGGTTTATTCCTACAACGTTACGAGGAGCCTCGAACAAAGATTTTCTACCCAGGCCCCGTACTGAAGCTGCCAAGCGAGCTCTTAGCGGGGGACAGTCATGTGGAATGGCCTAGAACACCAGGGATTGAAGATGAGACAAATTTCAACTCATTTAACTCTTCGCTGAATTTGTCCTGAACCAGGGATTGCCTCGAGGGAGTTGAATATTTTAGTTATTTATTATATACTGCATACAAGGTTAATATTTAATAAGTATGTGTAATCAAATGGTGACGAGATTAGGGAATAATTTCACTTGCGTTTTGGACAAAACGCGCGTGAAATTATTCCCTAATTTCACGAGTTCACCATTTGATTACCTATTAATATTTTGAGTGACAAATTACGTTCACAAGAAGCGATTTTTTAAAATTGTTTATTGTAAACAAGGATTCCAAGCTTAAAAAAAGGTTAACTAAGCGTACCGTGCGGAAAGTTTTGATTTTCAGTCTATTTTCTGAAAGTACAGACAACTTGGAAAAGGCCTTTAAACTGTTCTTGTTTTTCATTTTTGTTTTTCATCAAATGTTTCAAAGTTAAATCAACCGACGTCTCCCTTCTTTGTTCATGATTGGCCAAAAGTCATGAATGAACTTGAAAAAGCCGCCCGGGTCA